AAATCAGCTTTATTTTCAAGTTACCTCAGGTGTATAAAGACCCATCTAGCCTTCATAAAATTAGATCCTACCTCCTAAAAGGCTAAGAATTTCTATTCTCGTAGTCTTTCACCTCTCTCCTTATTTTCTAGGGTTTTAGAAGTGTGAGCCTTTAGAGGCATTCCTACTTTGGGTGCTAGATCCTTCTACAAGTAACTTAGAGTTCAAGATCATCAAGGTAATCACAAGTATATATGATTATACTTGAAAGGTTAATAATCCTATCCCTTTTGGTAGTTTATATTCATATTTTTTAAAGTATGTTGCCATAATAGTAAAACCTAGATATATGGTGCATGTACACTTAGGGTTATTATTGGATGCTTCTGTTGCCTAAATTTCAACTATAGATGCATAGAAAACCCTTCAGTTAGTGATAGTCTTTTGATTACTATAAGGGAAAGTAAGCATGGCTTAAAAACATAGGAGATGTGTAGACTTTAGAGTCATGGGGTGCTTAAGAGGATAAGGACTTATAGGTAATGTATTCGCTTTATGAAGGCTTCCAAGTCTTTCATTTGAGTGAGGCAAAACCATAACATTTCCTCTCCCTCTCATATTCTCTCTTGCAAAGTGTTAGAGATTGCATGCTTACTTGCTCTCTTTAAGTCATTGTTTTTTCTTGACTTAAATCTTAAGAATTTTGACTAGCATCTTCATCAAGTTGGTTTATTGTTGGTGTTGCCATCTAAGGATGAGTTCTACTCTACATAAGACATCAACATTTAAGCATCCCTTAAGGACTCAAAGAACTACAAAGGTTGTCATTGTCTTTTTCCCTCTATGGTTTTGTTTTCTTTCCAATCTTTGCTTGATGATCATTTGGTGAGAATAAAACTAGTTTATGTTATTCAAATTTAAAATGCTTCTGTTATTAAATCTTGTGTTTTTGAAACTATTTTTTGAATAAAAACCCAACAATGCTAAGTAAAACTTCATCTCCATTGATTAAAGCACACATACTTGTTGTTGATCAAAGTCAAACTGTCGGCAAGAGGAAAGGGGATGAGTCGATCTGGGGTTAAGGGACTAATCAGTCTAGGCAGGGATTAATCGGCGCCTAGGCGAAGACCCTTAATTGTAATAGAATTTATTTTTTAGAAATTAAATATTACCTATATCCTAACAAAATAAGTAAATAACAATAAAACTTTCGTATATTCAGTCGTCTAAATATTTAAATCATTGTATATAATAATTTTTAGACTAATTGGGGATCTTTTTAACCGTTTTAGTCATTAATCACCATAATTTAGTCATCTAATATCATATATTTGACTAATCGGGGATTTTTTTGAAAATTTTGAATGTCTAACTTTTTTACTAGCTTTGACCATCTAGACCGCCCAGGACCGATTCCGCCTAACTCGACCGACTAGCATTAATCGTAGACAGTAAGGGGCCGCCAAGTGCCTAGGCGGCCGCATATGCTAATTTTTACAACACTGATATATATATAATTTTTCCAAGGTTTGGACCTTTTTCCTAAAATAATGCATAGCATAGGGACCATTTTGTTGTTTTGTCAAAAAAAAATCACCATAAATAAATCATGCTAAATGACTATGAAATAAAGTGCATACCTTAACATATCTCTTTATGAAAAAAAAAAAAAAAAAAAAAAAAACCCTTCTAATTTACTTTAATATTTAAAAGCCACATAAATAAATCATGCTAAATGACTTTGTTTTAAGTTAGTAAACTAGATATTAACAAATCCAAAGTAAAGTAGACATCTATGTTAGGGTATTAAACAAATCCAAAGTAAGAATAATATGCAACAATATTTCAACCGATTAAAATGTTAGTATTGCATCTTTGAGTCCTTATATAAAATACTTTGCATAATTCATTTCAAATCTACGCTATAACATAAATTGGGAGGAATATAGACGTTCTTAACCAAAAATAAATAAATAAATAAAGTATGATCTAGTCAAGGGCCTGCAAAAGTTGGTCAACCAAGCACACAAGCTTTCATCCCAACACTCGAAGGGTTAGGGCACATGGAATCTATTGGACCCTAAAAACTAAGTTCTTTGATGATTAGTGGGAATCATTCTATCTTCAAATTAAAGGACAACCATCGGGAAATGATAAAGACTTGCACATTAAAATTTTAAAAACAAATGGATATGTTTGGAATTTGTGCACTAATCATCTTCGTAGGTAGGTATAGAATGAGATCCATCTTGCAAACTATTTGTTGCATGCTTTGAGTCGTCCGAAGTGCACCCTCAAAAGTTTGTCTCCAAAAGAAAGAACATGGTGCTCATATATTGGTTAAGTGAAATCTAAGGATATTGTTGTAAATAAATAGCAACCTACATTCAATGATTTGTTTATTATATTACATCCTACATTGAAAAAATCTCATCCATATACAAAACAATCTTTATTGATATAATTGGAGAGATTTTCTGAAGTGTAACGTTCCAATAAAATATTTCCAAAATATAATTGTCTTCATAATAAAAAGATTAGATTGAATGTACAATGTTGTTGTAATAGAAAGAAATGAAAATATGACGTGCTACGCAAATAAATGGAAGTATGTGCTGTTTCTTGCATATTCCTCTATAAAAGACAAAAAGTACAAAAGGGCACAAGATTCATTTTGTGGCCTTGTTTTTTCCCAATTAAATAAAATGTTGTGTAAATAAATAATGTATAAAGAATATTTGAGAAAATGATTGACAAACTTGAAGAAATGAAGGAAAATATAAATGAAGACAAATTTGTAAAAGGTTAAAATTGTCATTTCTCTCACTTTACGTATCAAGTCTTTCTTTGAGCGTTAAGTTAAAAACACATTCATATTTAGATACCAGATTAAGTCCATCAGGTAAACCTAAAAATAATAATAATAATAAATAAATATTGATTTCAATTTATGTTAAGATAATAAATATACAAAATTTTCAACACCAATGAAATGGAATGAATATATAGATACCTCATGTTTGGTCCTAATTTATGGCAAAAAAAAGTGACAGAGCTTTCCTTTTAACAGGTCATGACAATAACGTCATTTTCAATAAGGGAAATTGGTCCAGTAACTTTTATATTTGCCGATGGACATAAAAAGTTCGGAATATGAGGTACAATGGTCAAATAGATAGTTTTGGTTGTAGAGTTATTTGTTAACTCTAACGTTCTATATGATCAAATAAATATTCTGTTTTTAAGCTACTTCTTATAATATACCTTTGGTGCAAATTACATTTTATGTTGTGCTTGATAACATCAATTTGCATCAAATGGTTATATGAAAACATAGCAATGTACTTTCATTGATTTGTGTATTACAGCATCTAATTTTTTTTTTTTACATTACAAAATTGTAAATTGAAAAATCTATCGAATTTTAGCAAAATCATCTGAATAAAAACAGGGCCGTTCCAAACATATTTTGGGCTCAGGGCGAAAGAAAAAAAATGGGCCCTTAATATACACAAATGTCATCAAGTTTTTTTTAATAATAACTCAATAATTGAAAGAAAATTACTTGTACTATCTTCTAAATATAAAAATTTTGGGCCCCTTTAAAAGATGGGCCCTGGACGGTCGCCCCTATCGCCCACCGTCTAGGACGGGCCTGAATAAAAAGCTAATTTTATAGCAATTGGTAGGGCTTTTTAAAGTATAATGTCCTAATAGGAAATTCGGAAAGTACAATGACATAATATGGTAGTTTTTCTAAAGAGCAATGCCTTGATAAGAAACTCTTTACAAGTACAATGTGGTAATAAAATGACATGAAAGTAGAATGTTATAATACATATATGAAAGTACATTGCCATTTCTTCAATTTTTTCCATCAATAAAATAGAATATAGTATTATTAAAAGAAAGTTAAAACACAAACTAGCTCACTTGTCACAATAGGATGCCAAAAGAAAAAGGAATGCAAACATTTATTCTAGTATGAAGATAGTGGAAGACACAAAAATTGCTCATATGCCAAAAAAAGGATGTTTATGTAGTTCAAAAAAAAGAGAATAATAAAGATATTTATTCTAGGACAATGATAGTGAAAGACTTACCATCAACTTATTCTACCCAAATATAGCAATCGCATCAAAATACAAACACACTTTCACTGCTATATAGGTATACTAAGAAATTTATATTAAATATAGTGTTGTAATGAAAAGAAATGAAAGTAGTATGATATAATACACAACCAAATGAAAGTAGTTTACTATTTCTTGAGTTTTTCCTTTATGAAAATAGGATATGTTATTACTTAAAGAAAGTTAAAACCCAAAGTAGCTCATTGATGTAGTTTACAAGAAGGAATTTTCATTACTATAATTATGTACGTTTTTCAAAATATAATGTCCTAATAAGAAAGAATTTAAAGTACAAGGATATAAACCAAGTAGTACACTATAAAACACAAATAATTAAAACTACGTTGCTATTTCTTGATTTTAATTCCAATACGGTAAGAGGATATAACATGACAAAGATAGTGAAAGACTTACCATAAATCATATAAACCAATTGTAACAATGTTCATTAAATACAAAGAAATTTTCACTACAATATAAATCTTATAATGTCCTAATAAGAAAATATCAATAGAAAGAAGTAGCCATAGTACGCTTTAGTACACAAATAAATGAAAGTACATTGCTACTTCTGGAAATTTTCCTTTGTATATATATATATATATATATATATATATATATATATATATATATATATATATATATATATATA